CTGGTGGATTGAGAATGTATGGACTCGAAGAAATTTATTAAATAATCCAAGATCTTTACTAGTTTTAGATTCTTTTCAGAGACATCTTGTGGATTCAGTAAAAAATAGGTTTAATGAAAAACAAACAAATATTGCAGTTATTCCTGGTGGGCTTACAAGTAAATTACAACCATTAGATGTAGCAATTAACAAAAGTTTTAAAGCAAATCTACGTCAATATTACAATGATTGGATGAGTTCTGAGGTTCGTGAATTAACACCTTCTGGAAGAATCAAAAAACCTTCATATGCTAATGTTGCGAGTTAGGTAAAAAGATCATGGGATGATATTGATATTAATTTGATTCAAAAATCATTTAAATGTTGTGGTATTTCTATTGCTAGAGATGGTAGTGAAGATGATTTGGTATTTGATTATGATAGTTTGCAAAAGAAAAAAAGTAAAAAAACTGAATTAATTCATATTGATAATGAAGAAAATCAAAGTAATGAAGAAGAAGATGATAGTCATGATATTGATACAGATGATATAAATGAATATGAAAAACAAGAAATAGATTATGATAATAAATATGATTCATAGATTAATTTGATGTATTTTTTTTTTTTTTGATTTTATAATAAATTTTGATATTTTTTTACGATTTATATAAATGCTATATAAAAAAACAATTGGTGTATAATACTCCTGGGTATTATACAAATTTTCGCAACTTTTTTTCAAAGTCCTTATGTATAATACCCGGGTCTTTTGGACCAGATTTATGGGGAGGGTATTATACTATAGGGGTACTTTAGTCAACCGTTTACGGTATTAATTGATGATCTGTGATCAAAATATATAAAATGATCAACATTAATTATGAAAATGTGATGCTATGTAGTAATAATAAAAATAAGTTTTTTTCAATCTCGTACCTTTTATTTGACAACTTAGCTAATTACTTATGATAAAACACAAATGAATTTCTCCTAGACTTATTTCTATCAGTTCTATAGTACATCAATACCACTATGACACATTTTTTCATGAATAGTAGCTTACTATTATTAATGATAAAAATGTTGAGAAACTTTATCTGATACGTATTGGTATGAGCATTATTACTGAACTAATAGAATTCAGTTTTATTTAAAAGTTGTTGAAGGCAATAAGATCAATGTATACTTGCCTAAATATCTTTGATAAGCAAATGGCAAATCAAGTGACATTGAGAAAACAACAAGTGCTACATTAATAAACTTATACCAACTTATCTTTCTAACAAAAACAAAGTTTTCTAGATCATGTGAATTTAGGTTAAATAATCAATCAATTATTCTTAAAAAACTTTAGAAGGTGTTTTCTTTTAACCTTTTTTTATTTATCTTAGTAAATTTCAAATCTTTGTATACAATATTGAAAGTTTAAACTAAGATGGTTATGAAGGTGCAGGTTGTGAATATATATCATCAATCATTAATATAAAAGGAAAAAAACTTTTATATGAATAAAAAATATTTGAAAAATTTTGTATTATTTGAGAATTTTAAAGATCTTGTAAAAAACGAGTATTTAAAGGAAAAACTCCTGATGAGGTTTAAAATAAAATTAGCTTATTTTCTACATATAATGAAAAAAGACTTTTTGGATTGATGGATGAAAAAACTCAACAAATTATAAAAACTAAATGTCAACTAACATGTCAATCTAAAGATTAGATCGAGAAATCTAATTTGAAACTATTGTATTTACATTATCTCAAACATCATATACAAGTCAATATTCAATAGTATAAAATTTTTTTTATTGGAACAAATAAGCAAGCGACATTATAGAATTAAAAATAGCTCTAAAGAACATTTATGAATCTAATTATATAATCAAATCATGAGAGTTTTGTACTTGGTGAACTTTATTAAAAGCAGCAGAATATTTTAATATAACATCTTATCAACTTGATAACCAACTGGTAATATTATAACTCTAATAATTTATTAATTTTTTAGTTACATCTATCTTATTTTTGAATAATAATAGTGTGAATTTTAGATAAAATCAGAGGATGGGAAAAGAGATCTAGAAACTATGTAAATGTTATATAAAAATGGATTATTATGTACAAATTTGACTCAAAAAAATCTTGAGGTATTATATACCTTAAATTTATGTAAACAAACAAAAAACTTGTAGCAATCATTACCAAAACAATTAAAAATAATAAGAAAGAGGCTAATAGCAAATGAAGAATTCTTTCAATAGTTACTAAAGATTATAGTCTTAAACAATTGAAAATGCTAAATGTAAATATAAAAATAAAATATTAATATTCAGATAATAATATATTTTATTAATTAATATCAATAATTTAGATAAAAACATCATCATAAACCTTGAATAAAATCTGAAAATATACATAAATTAATAAATCAGAATGTTCTTCTATTAAACAACCAATAATTATATGAAATCATATATCTAATGAGGCTAAAAAAACAGATTAAAATTTTTTTTTAATAAAGAAATTGTTATAATGAGTTCCTATAAAGTAGATGCGAAAATTGACTTACCAGTTCTTTATCTTCAAAATACAAAATCTGCTCTTTAGAAACTATATTTTGAAATTTTTATATATATAAATAAAATTTTATAAATAAAAAAAATTTTTTTTAGTCAAATATAATTAATCAAATTGAAATGTTATGTTATCATATAAAAAGATAATTTGAATGGGATCTATCTATAAATCTTGATGAAAAATCTAAACATAATTCTTATATTTCTTATTGTTTTGCATATTCATTAGGTATATGTAAAGATTTACATACATCTGTTTGTTCAAGTTGTGAAAATCTTTGGTTAATTATTAAAGAACTTAGAGGAGAATTTTTAAGATAAGACCATTTGGAATCACTTTTAGTTAGTCAAGATAAGTTGATTTATTATATGGCTCATTTAGCATGAAAAGTATATTTAAATGTCTAATTTGAAACTTATTTCAAAGAACTTGATTAAAATAATATGCTAATCATAGTAGATTACAAAATGAAAGTACTTAAACAATCAACAAGAGAAACAAAAAGAATTTTTTTAGAAAAAGAGGATGGACTTTACATACTGTATTATTATTTACTAAAGGAAAAGATGACTAATTAAACGTTTGTGTATTTGATCACTAGTCAGATGATCAACATCAAAATGCATACTTTATCATATTATCTCTTTATGCAGTTATTATTTCTCTTAAAAAAAGACCAAAATAGGTAACCTTTATTTCTGATAATAGACTGTATTATTACAATTCAGAGCTAATGGTTATACTTAGCTATTGGTTTGATTGGTATCAGGTTAAAGTTAAAAAATGTTTATTTTTAGAATCAAAAGAAACTAAAACAATGATTAATTCATATCATACATAAGTATATAATAATAATTTTTTTTTATTTAATTCAACTAAAAATCTAATCCTTGCTTTATACATATATTTAGATTGCACATGCAATTAGATGATTTGTATACTTAGGAACAGATTTGATAAGTAGTTCCTAAATTAAAGAGTATATTCAAAATATTCAGAAAACATCTGTTACATATTTAGAACCTGATAGATCAAAAAGGAAAAAAGTAGAGATATTAGCTAAAATAGCAGAATTATATAAATGGTATTGGTCATGTAAAGGAAAATATAATGATTTTATTTAAGCTAATAAATTAGGAAGCTTACATATATGACGTAATTATAGATTACTATAGATCTGACCTCTTCTTCCCCCTTCCCAGGTGAGACTATGATATCACGTAATAATTAAATTTTTATTTCAGCCAATTATTATTAAGCATTACATTTCATATTTACAATAAATTACAATAAAGAAAAAGATATTGTTGAAGGATACTATTAAAAGATTAAGCTGTTTTTTTAAAAATTTCAAATAATTTAATTGTTATAAACTTAAAAGTTGCTAATGTTAAAAGTTAATTTGCCTTTATAATATTAATTAATGCAACTTTTGCTAGTGTATATTTGCTTAACTAAAGATTCTTCAATGTTTTGTATCTAAAAAATTTTAGTATCATAAATTATTTAATAAGATAGATGATTATTTACCTTATAGTCCTCCACATTTTACTTTATTACTATCATTGAGCAGTTCATCATCATCTATGTAATTAGCATTAGTTTAATTTAATAAAACAATAAACTTGAATTATAATTAATATTATTTTCATATTAATGTTATAAATAAAAAACATTATCTTTGTAGTATCAGTTTATAATTTTATTGTATCTTTCGCAACTGATACATGTGACTTATTGTTAATATTCGTTATGTCTATAAATATAGTACTAATCATATCTCTGATCACCACTTTTTAATTTCTTTATCCAAACCTTAGCATGCAATCTTTTCTAACTACACCAAAATACAATAAGTTTTATATTTATAAAACTCCTATAAATCAATACTAGAGGTTCTGTAATGCTTTCAGTTATCAACGTATGATAAATGTAAAAAATTCTGTTTATCCAAAAATTAGCCTATATACAAAATATACTAATGCGTGAAAGGAAATTTAGAATAAACTTCAGGAGAAAACCAAAAATAAAATCCATAAATATTTGGTAACTCTGATTCCAATCAAAAGCTTTTTGCAAACTAATTATTTACAAGCTAGCCTATCTCAAAGTTCAAAGTCTACTCGAGTCATTCAAAAGCCAATAAAAGAGATTATTATAATTAATGCCAATCCATCTTCCAATGTTACTGCACAAAAAAAAACTATGAAAACTATCAATACAACTAATATAAAACTTATAGAACTTCAGCATCTTTATAATTCTACTAATGATTTAGAAATTCAATGTAACCTAATAGAGCATATAGCAAGTCTCAAGGAAATTTTGCACAATAAAAATAATAAAATTAAGAAATTGAAGTGTCAGGTAAGTTATTAATGTAAAAGTAGGAAAAAAAGTGAAACTTTTACAAAAAAATCAAAAAATAATAAAATACAATTTATCTGGTCATCTACCTCTTTTAATTCAATATTCCAATTTATATAAATATATATATGAATGTATTAAATTCAGAGTTGTAGATAAAAAAAGAAGAAAAGAAGTTATTAAAGTTAGGACCATCCATCATCTTCAAGAAGAACTCAATTCAAAATATAATGAATATCTTTCTTGCATTATTCTTAATAATTACCTATTACTATCTTGGTCAAATTTTATAGCAGCAAAGGCTTATTATCATTTAATTAATATTGTAATTGCGTCTGTTTCTCAAAATGAAAAAAGGAATATCCTGATAAGCATTATTGTCTTGCTTCTGTAAAAGAACAAAACAATTCGCTGCCTTATTTCTAACTCATTCTGTTATTATTTCTCAAGATGACAAAACTAAAATTCCTCTTGACATCCTTGCAGTCAGAAGAACTTTTCAAATAATGCAAAATTTTTGAGAACCAGTTACATTATCTGATCATAATTTTCTGATTAGAATGCAGCAAAAACTTATTCTATCAGTTTACTTACTCATTAATTCAAGTGATACAAATAATTCTTTTTATAATAGCCAACTTTTGATTTTTATATGTTCGCAATGTCAAATTGACACAAACTCAACCTCTCATATGAGTGATCTAAATTCATTGACAAAAAACAGTTATTTTGATGGAATACTAAAAGTCAATAGCTAGATCAAACTTATTTGGATTCTTTTAGTCGACAAAGGTCCTGATAAAAATCCACGCCACATGAAAAATATCTTTTAATATTGTAGAATATTCTATACATTTGATCTTGATTATCTTTCATTCGAACGTATGCATCTGGTCAATCAGCATACAATCTTGTTGAGTGTAGTATGGCAATGCTCTCTCAAAAGCTAGCTGAGATAACATTACCAATTGATAAATATGGTTCTCATTTTAACTCTTAATGCTAAGTGATTAACTCAAAGCTTGCAATAAAAAATATGCATTATGCTGATGAAGCTTTATGTACTCTTTAGGATTGTGATTCTATCTTTGAAAGACCAGTTACAATACAGTATATTGATCAAAAAAGCTTTCCATTCGAAGATATCATGTTTCCTGCATGTGGCAAAAAAAATACTGAAGAATCGATTGTACCCTAGTAATAGCTAGAAAATTATACTAAGATGTATCAATATTCTCTTGATATTAAAAAATGTGAAAATCCACTTTGTTGTTTGCCTAAACATCACGAAGAGTCAACCATTCTTCTTGCAGAAAATAATGGATTCCTTTCACTTGTAACAAAAGAAAAAGATGATTATTTCTTGAATCTGCTTTATATATTAGAATATTGCGATAAACTTAAAATACCTGAATATGATGCCACTGTCCTTCCATTAATTTAAACACTTATACTTGTCTCTGCTGTTCTGATTGCAATGCATATTTTCCAACTCTTTCCATAGTTGCCTTACATAAAAAAATCAACATCTAAAATGACAAGGATGACGAGCTAAGCAAAAAAAGCTACTTATCAATTATATTGATGATTTTTCAGTTGTATCTACGTTGGCTGGACAAGTATTAAGCTTATATAATTAGAAAACACAATCAGATAGTAAGTAAGAAGGTTATTAAAATTTTAGGGCAGGTTTTTTAAATGACAGAAAAAAAAAGTTAGTAAATTTGCGATATGCTAAATCATTAAATCATATAAACATTATGTTTTATTAATACATAAATTATTTAAGAAAGTCTAATTTATCGATTAATATATTGTTATTGTTAGAATTTGTTATATGTTTTTTGAATTTGTACTTTTTTTTTTTTTTTTTAAGATAACATGTGTCAAATTAGATTTATTATTAGATTATTGTTATACAAGATCATAATATATCATATAGATCATGTGACCTGAATCTTTATCCTGATTGGCTAATTATAGAGGTGAGATATTTGAGATCCCCTTCCTCTAATAATTACATTATATATGTAAGCTCCCTTATCTCATATTGGAGATTTTATAAATTTTTCTCCTACAAAGATCATTAAAATCATATCTACTCCTTTAGAGAAACCTGAACCAGAATTTGATACTCATACAATGCCAAAAGTTCTATTATCTATACCAATTTCAAATATTTTAGGTATGATTAATATTATTATATACGAAATACAATTAAGCATATAATAATAAAAAATATTTTTAGGTATCAAACCTGATCAATTATGTAATAATTAACTTTGTGATAAGTTAAACAAATATAAAGTAAATTTTAATCTAAAATCAACACATGTGCAATTAGTCAATCTTTTAAATGAAACCTTGAAAACTTAAGTCAAATAATGTAATTTGTTAAAAAAATTTACATATTACTTTTTTTAAAATATTTTATTCTAATAATTAGTATTAGGTATTATTTACGAATTTATTATAATAATTTATTTCAATTTTAGCTGATAATACAGATATCACTCAGCAACTTAAACTTGTATTTGAAGTAGTAGATATGACTTTACAGCTAAATGAAAATAATAAGTTAGAATTAAATTTTTTAATAAATTATTAATATTTTGTTAATTTATTACTAATAAATGAACAATTACCTTTTTTTATAGGAACTGTATATTCAGATTAAGTAATAGTTAGGCATTACGTAAAAGACAAAAATTTAGCAAAAAAGGTAGTGGTAAAAGAATTTCAAGGATGTTGTTGATTTATTAAAAAGTTATTTTCATAGTAAAAATGCATCTGGTAAATCATGTTTATCAGCTAAAGATATGATGAAAGAATTATATATTATTGCAGAAATGAGACATTTGGCAAAAGAAAAAATACCACAAAAAGTTGACACTATTAGAGGATGGATTTTAAGATATTCAGCATATGTAAAGGCAGAAGTAGCAGAAAAAGCATTAGCTATCAATAGACATATATAATAATGAAAAATTTCAAACTAAAAGTATTATTTAGAAAATTATTTGTTTAGTTATAATAAAATTTGCTCTAAAATTCACATATTTTGTATATAAAAGCTTTTATAAAATCCATTATGACAAAATTTTTTTTTATAAATATTGTTAACGTGTAATTCTTGCGAACTACAACTGTTAGACGGGTGTTTGAGCAGTTTATTCTTTTTAATTAAGCAGTAATCTTTCAACAGTAAACGAGTTTTATTTCAGACTGATTATCAAAAAGTATTATACTATTACAACAAGCAGTAATCCAACAGATTATCAGTGATTTATGATGGTAAAATAATATGTTTATTCACGAGTAAAATAATAAAATAAAAGAAAAGAAGAGTAATACTAAAACTAAAATGTAATGCAATAGGCCAGTTGCCTTTAAAACTACAATGTAATGTGATAGGCCTGGTTGCCTTTAAACTGTAATATAACGTGATAGGCCTGGTTGTCTCTAAACTGTAATATAATATGATAGGCCTGGTTGTCTCTAAACTGTAATATAATATGATAGGCTTAGTTGTCTCTAAACTATAATGTAATGTGATAGGTCTAATTGCCTCTAAACTGTAATGTAACGTGATAGGCCTAGTTGCCTCTATTATACTATCTTCTGGATTGGTTACCTATATCAATAGGCCTTCAGGATTAGTTACTTACGTCAGCTAACAATACCTCATTCACTGCTAAAACTACTCAAGCTATCTTCTTTCCCTCCTTTCTATATGAACTAATAAGTTACTTATTTATATAAAATATATTACATAGAAAGATATAACTAATATATCTAATATGTCAGCTATGTCTAATATGTCAGTTATATCACATATATCTAACATGTCTAATATATCAGTTATGTCACATATATCTGTTATATCTAATATGTCAATTATGTCGATTATGTCTGATATGTCGCATATGTCAAACATATCAGAAATGTTAGATATACAATCTATATAAATTGATTATCCTTTTGTGTTACATAAGCTGCATCATGTTTATCCGTTCACAATATAAATCTTTGATAATTGGCTATTAATTTTGAAATTTTTTTTTATTTAAAAATGTCAAAATTTGTGTAGATCCTTCAGAGTTTTTGCAATTATGTGATTATATTAATTGATCTTTACCAAATTTTACTATTTATAGATCTTTACTTATTATACAAATTATGAATTAATTATTATTAAAGAAATAAATTTAAATAAAATAAAAAATAGATTTTAAACTAATTTATCATAATTATTAATATTTATTATAATTATAAATAATAATTTAATTAAAAAAATATAATTATAAGAAATTAAAATCAAATTAATTAAAATCAAATTAATTAAATAATAAATTAATTAAATAAAATAAAAAATTAAATTAAATGAATTAAAGTTATTTATTGTAATAGTTACCACTGATTAAAATAATTCAAATTAACTAGAAATTGAATGGCTGATTTTAATATTATTTATAGCTATTTGATCATATTTTCTAATTAATACAAACAGCAGCAGAGAGACGAGGCAGACTATTTGTTTTCACTCTGAAACCCAAGAAAGATGCTTATCAAATGACATAGTCTAGGCTTTCCTTGCTGTTAAAATAATTACTTATTGATTTGCTATTCTAGAGCTCTCAAAATATAATTCTACTATATCAATAAAAATTATATTCTTAGAATGCATTCTAGCTCCTCTCTCTCAATAAAATTACTAATTTATTTTCTTGCTTTTGCGCGTCTTCCTGATTATAATCCTGATATAATAAAAAATTACACCTAGTAGAAAGTATGTGCAGACCGAAGTAAATTGATTATAAACCTCAAGGAGATGAGTGACGATTATTGAATTCCAGCTTCCTTCTCTTACTTAGAATTGCTAATTTGTTTTCTTACTTTTGTATGCCTTTCTGATTATAATTTTGGCACAATAAAAATTTACACCTAGAAGTATAGCCTTAGGTGAAAAAAAATGGGGGTGTAATAATTTCTTTCATGGCCTGTCAGCGAAATTTTTTCTTAGAATGTTAGTCTATTAAGCCTTCTAATAAATAGCTGGGTGAACATATTTAAATCTCACCTTTAGAGCAAACATATATATCCTCTTATAGCCTCCTAATCTGCATACTATAATTGTAGCACTTGCTAAGAGAAAAATATAGTAGGAATATGAGCAAGCCCTTTAAGGTGAAGCGAATATGGATGCTATATTTTTTCGATCCTATGCTATTCTATTCTAAAGTATGCTAATATATGAGGCAAATATGAATACAGAAGTTGCAGAGCATCGAAGGTGCGGACCAAAACATAGAAATAATTAAGTTAGACTATCTCCTAAAGGTCTTGACCGAAGGAAGGTGTAAAAAAAAATGGATAGCATGATGTAAATAAAAAATCAGCTAGAAAGTGTACCTATATAAAGCATTTCATACAGTAAACAGATTAGTCGAATAGGCTGAAATCATCATAAATCTCATTAGTATACTTGATATTATTTTTTTCTTATTTTAGCAAAGTCTCATGTAATTCCTCTAGGATTCGCTCCTCCAACTGCTTCTCAAATTCGTGTTTCTACTCTCCTACTTCTTCAGTTTTATTCGCTGACAGCTCTAGAAGTAATTCATCAATTTTCATCCAGATTAAATCATCAGCATTAGCTTTATCCTGAAACCTATTAAAATATTGGATTACATAATAGGTACCAGAATGCTTTCTACAAAAGCCGGGTTCAGAGCTAGTCAGCTTGCCACAAACCTTTTTTTCTTATAAATTCGAAAAAAAATAAACAGGATATGATGTCAGACTAGGCTATCTCCTACCAATTGATAGATCGAAGGAGGAATAATTAATTATTTTTTGAACAAAAGTTTTCATACTATTAATACAAACAACTGAATTATTTCACTTACTATCAAAAATGGTACTTCAATGTCCTCGATGTGGAAAGAATGACTTTAAAAAGACTCGTGATTTAACAAATCATCTTAACAGAAAGTTTAAGTGCAAGCAAACCCAAATACTTAACCCGGTTCAGCCATCTAACCCTAATATATCCAGACCTCAATTACCAGTAACTAGTCCCCTATCTCCTATAGTCTATGTTCATGAAAAAGAAGGGTCTAAAAGAGGCCAAGCTACACATTTATCCATAGAGGATTTGGCCAACTGGCTTGCGAATCCTGAAATAAAAAATAACCTAACCATTATTAATAAAAAGATCCTAAAAACAGATGCAGAATGGTTTTATTTAATGGAGCGCCAAGCCAAAAGAAAGTCTTCTAGTAAACGGCAAAAGTAAACTAAAGTATCCTAACTAATAGAAGAGGATTCTGAAACGGGACCTGACCCAACTACTCAAGCACATAGAGAAGGACAAAGGGATGATTCTGAAGAAGATTCAAAGGATCTAAATAAAAAAGTGCCTTGGCCAGTTTCATTTCCAAATAATAAAGGGCATCGGAAAGTATGGCAAAAAGAAATTCAAATGGCAAAAGATATGTTTAAAGTAGATAGTGCTGAATATACATTTTCAAAGTTACAAAGAAAGCAAAAGAGCTATATTTACATAGGGATGGCGTGATGAAAAAAGGATTCAGAATATATAGAGGTATTAATAAAGGAATACAAAGTAGAAGATAAAGAAAGTCCAAAATGGAAAGAGTATATAGAAAGTGTTTTTGAGACAGCAGAAATGTATGAAGCTGAAATGACTAAAAAGCGTAGTAAAGAGATTTTAAATGCAATAGATGATGATAAGTTACTTATAAGAGTAAAATTTATTCGAGAAGATAAAGGTAATTTCAAAATTGTTGACAAATATGAGCCCATTCGTAAATCAAAGAAGGCTGGTAAAGAATTTGTTTCAGGAAAACCCAATATTGTGCTTACAAAGAAGACAAAACTAGGCTTTTGGGTAGGAATTGATGAAAAGTTTTTAGTTAGAGAGGTCTCAATAGAATCTGATATAGATGACCTTACAGCTAATGCAGTTGTCTATGGATTATATAAAATCTGGGAGCCAGATAGTAAATGATTAATGCCAATAAAAGATGGCGTACTCAACTGTGTGATCCAGCGAGTAATAGAGCATTTTGAAAAAGCAAAAAGAGGGTATGGTCTGACTAGTACACGTAAGCAAAAAATTGGCATATGGAAAAAAAAAATGCGTCAACTTGGTGCTTGAGTAGAGGATGTAGCAGAATTGGAAAAGATACTTAAACGACTAATCACATTACATGATATTACCTATAGAGTTATTTTTAATAGTAGAAAATATCAAATAGGTAGGTTTGAAGAGATAGAGATAGTAGTTCACAATGGTCACGCATTCCTTAAAAACCATTATTTTCCAAAAGATCGAATGGTGGAGTATTATAATGATAATGCACAGATGGCTATCAATAAAGCTCTTCTTGGTCCACAAGTAATATGGCTTATTGGACTTGGACTTGGGAAAGATGAAACACTAGAAGAAATCCAATCAGTATCACAGTTTGTCCTAGAAGATGGTCGTACATTTAGGATATGAATGAAACATACAGATATCATAAAAGCATGTAAGGAATTATTTGAGAATGCAGTAGACTGGCAACTTCAGGAAGGAATAATTAATGAAGAAAGAAAGCGGGAGTCCCTAGAATCACTTAAAATAGTTGAGTTAGCAGAACAGGTATTTGGTGCTAATCATGCCGGAGGCAAACTTACCAACGAGATCAATGATTAGCATCTTACTCTGGCTAGTATACATGAAAATATAAAGCAATCTTGTGTTGAACATAGGCATGGAGGACGCCGGAATACACCTAATTATCAAGTCGGAGATGTTATATGTATAGACATGAAGGAATGCTATCCGGCAAGTATGCGTGGTCAAGGAGAGTGTTCACCATGGTTTAAGCAGTTTGGGCATCCAACACACCATCTTGTCCGAGTAGCAGTGAATGGAGAATTGCCACAAGACGATGATATAACCGGATTT